CCCTCCCATATTTCCAACATAACCGCATGGATTTCCTTATTCTTCGGTGTATCGTTTGCCCAGCCGCGTAGTTGGCAAACACGCTGTAAAAAATGCAAATGCGAAAGCAAACAAAAAAGAAAACGACAAAAAAAGAAGAGCAAATATGTTAGTAAGAGCGAAACAACAATAGCAATAACAATAACACTCATAAGCGAGATAAAAAGCGAGCGAGTGAGTGAAAAATTCTACACGCAAGGGCGCACGCATAAATTACTCGGCATTTTTCGGCTGCACACCTAGGGTATAGTACATATCGTACATAAAAAAAATTTTGCATATGCACATACATGTGTACCTCAACATGTACATATGTATGCATATGCAGACATGTGAGAATCCATAGAGGTGCTGCAAGGGTATGCAGCCAGCATAAAAAGTTGCCGAAATACTCTGTGTAACAAAAAAGAAAGCGTCGGCTGTGCAACAACAAATGTAAAGGCAATTATTTGCATGCAAATAAATTTCGCTTAAGTGTTGTGCCATACGGCGTTCGCCAATTTTTGCATGCGTCCCTGCTTGTTGCCCCAAATGAAAGAATAACTTTTAGCAAGTACATAAAATTTCCAACGAAACTTTTGTCCGCCAACACTCACCTCAATGGCCAACTCGAAGTCTTTAACGTCGATTTCGCCGCTCTGATTGACATCTGTTGACAGTCGAGATAACCGAGAGTAGAGAGTGTATGGGAATGGTAGCGAACGGAGAGTTGATCAGTTGGACAGTTTATTGATGTTTTCAAGGTACATTGTTGGACATTGTTTGTTGATTGTTTGTGTGCGTTATTTAATGATGTTGTCAGTTGTGTATACGCCATGGAGTCCAAAATCATCAAAAGGGAAATAGTGGAGAAAAAATGCGTAAGTTACGAAATGTGGAGTTTAAAGTGTTCATTAGAATAATTAACCATAAAATATACTCGTTTGATATACAATATAATTTTGGAATCAAATTTATAAACGATATCTTATAGTTTGTTATATATTTAGTAAGTCCATATCAGGCTTTTACTTTAAATTTAAATAGCTCTAAAGTGAAATACCTTCTGTAATGAAACACGTACACCTATATAGGCATACACTGAAAATGCGCAAGGACTGTTTGTATGAAATATGTCATGTGTTATGTACACATGGCGTATGAGTAACATTCATTTCATGATAAATTTTCTTACAAAAAATTTTTGCGCATTTTACTTTGCCACTCATTCCTTTTCTATTTATTCATTGATATTCTTCACTAGTAACGCTCGTTATTTTTTTTAATTTTTCCCCGGGTAAAAGTCTAATTTTTTCATCTTTTCACCAAAAAAAAAAAAAATAAAAAAATCTGAAGGGTTTAATTAATTTGTCAGAAACTATGAGGCCTGTTGGAAAGTGATGTACATTCGGTTTTTGTAGAATTCTGATTAAACAGAACGTTCAGAGTAAGGTGATATAAAGGTTGCCACAAGGTAAACACTACTCGAAAAATAACATATTCGTGCACAGAGAAATCATGAACATCAGTGAAATCAATTATCTCAGATGTATAGTCGCGAACCAATGCGCCACTGGACCAAAATGATTCATTCAACAGTTTATCAAAGCAATCAGCAGAAATATTTTCTCGGAAGTCACGATATTTCTTTCATTCGAAAAGTTAAATTTTTTTATATTTAAATTTAGCGGCTTTGATCTTTTCGTTACAAAAAATTTCACAACATCTCCAGTAGATTCTTAAGAAAGCCTCGATACGAAAATAGAGTTTTCAAATGCATCCTGCTTTCGCGCAAACTCATCATTTAGTGGCTTCAATCTCTAAAGGTATTGCTTAAGCAGTGCTAAAAAGCTTGAAAAGCTCAACCTCGATCTTCCTACACCAATAGGGGATAGTCCACCAAGTTAGAGGCCTTTAACTGAATCGAACTACAAAGTCAAAAGCGTTCTTTTTTTCTTGCATACGTCGAGAAGTACTATTTCTAAATAGTACTAAGCTATCAAAACCAAATGTAATCAACTTCCAAACTGCATAAATACATACATTCTTATGTTTATAACGTTAAATTATTTTCAATTTCGATGTAACAAATCTGTCATTGCTGTATCCCACAAACTCGCAAAAAAGTTTATTCATTTAACTATTTGAACTTTTTTCTCATTTTAGAATAAAGTTTGGCTCCATTTTTGCGCGCCCAGCTCACAGCCGTCAGCACTTCCGCTTAACGCATTCCATTGACATTGACTACCGTGCAGCGCAACAGCTCCGGAAACGCGTGGATGCTAGCATCCAAGTTCCATCCAGCCATTATTGGCCGCTTCACATTGGGGTTGCCAGCGGTGTTTATAAATAAAATACTACAACCATGTGTACATACATAAAATTAATTATTTTTCCATTTTGTTAGAAACGAAGTGGTTAAGTTCAGAATTTCATTTGAAAATTAAGTGATTTTAAATTCACCATAAATGCCAGCACATTAAGCAATTAAAATATTGCTCATACGCCCGCGCCACACACAAACTAACCAATTGGTTGCCGCATCATGCTTCGTGCGGACTCACTAAATTTAATACAGCTTGCAGTTATAGTAGTTAGATAATATTTTTTTATTGTTTTCTCTAATGTTTATATGCACAGGTTATTATTTGTATACTAAATACATACATATGTATGTACTACTCGTATATATTTACAGATATATGTATGTCCCTGTGTAATCTTAAAATGACCAGCACTTGAGTGGTTACCTTTTGCGGCAAGCTCAAGACGTACAAAGTTAACCCGACTAATTGCAGGATGTTAAACTAACAATTTTTTAGTAGAGCTCGACTTGTTTTTGCCCTTTAAAATAAAAATAACACAACCTTTTATTTTATATTTTCTGGACAGGCCAGGTTTCCGCTTCAATCGGTTCCAAAACCGTACTTTAAGAAAAGCTCCACTACTTTTTTTGTTGATAAAGGAAAATTTTATTAAATATTTATTTACATACATGCATGCATAAAAAATAGGCTCCAAGGTTTGCAAATATGCGTTTGAATATCTATTATGTCTTCAACTGTGATTCGGTTTTTGAAACCAATGCTGTTCTTCAAAAAGTCGATTTATTTTTCAACATAAACAACAACCGAGAACTTTCATTAAAGATCAATGCAAATCATTCAAGTCCTTGATTTTTCGAATGTAATAATATCAACGAGTTTTATTGCAAAAATTTGACTACGTACTATATAACCGAAACCGAAGTGTTTACTCTCCAAAGCCATGTTTCTCCCTGTGCCGTTTAAATAGTTTTAACGAAAAAGTGAGTTAAAGAGAAATTTATTGGCTGGAGTTGCATATTAAACGCAGATGTGCATTCTATTTTACACGTTAATGGCTTTCCTGTGGTGAGCGTTTAGTAATTTTAAATAATTGAAATTTATAATTTCTTAACCATAAATAATGTAACATAAATAAATATGACAAGCGTGCACTTTTTACGTACATATAAATTGTAGGCAATATTTTTGGCTCATTTTCAAAACCGCTAGAAAATGATACATGTGCATCATATAGATATGTACATATATATGTATGTATTTATTTAAATTTTTTTTTATATTTGCATCATGAAAATAAATTTTTTATAATTTCCTTTTTGATTTGGTTTTATTTGTGCTGTTTAACAGCATTCGCACACTGCCAAAATGTATATTTAGTTACAACATCTAAATATGTTTCTCTCAACACGTGATTTGGTTATAGTTACACTATTGCATTACAGTTACCATACAGTTATAGTCAGTTACCAAATCTTAAATCTTGAGTCTACCGTAATACATATTAACATTTTGCAATATTAATTTTAAAGAATTACAAGCTTCCTTCGTATCAGTACTATATATTGAATATATTACTGATGGTTTCGTATTTGGTTGTGGTAATAATATTGCTTTTAAATTTACTTTAGCCCCGTCCATAAATTCACAAAAAAAACAATTTTGTTCAAATTGTTGGGGATGTATGTATGCTGTAACTTCTGTAGCATGTTGTTTTCGTTTAAAAATCTGGCCATGGATGGAATCTAACTGATTTTGGTTAACTAAAATTGACAGGTGGAATGTTGCCAGCAACGCACAGTGTTTCGACAATATGGAGGCAGGTGGAAATAATAGTAAACATCCACCAATTTCTCTGAAACTTGACATGTGCTCTTATTTTACTTAGAAATATGGAATTATGAAATTTTGTAAAGATGCAATAATTACCACGCCCTGCACTATTGTGGGCGGAATCATTAAATTTCATCCAATTTCGATGAGATTTAGTTTGTACTCTCTCTTTTATTAGAAAACCCTGTATGTAAAATATGGGGAGAATGGGATCACTATAACGTCAAAAACTCACTAAAAAAGTGGGCCCAGTCATTAACTTTAATGGAATTTTTTTTTTAATTTTTGTTTCCCGCTTTCCACTCTCAGAAAAAAAGGTTATACTTTCAAATTACATAAATAGGTGTAAATATTCCCTTTTCTCCCAATATTTGGTGAGATTTTTCCATTGTTCGAAAAATTCTTTTTGCGAAATTATGCAAAAAGAAACTGAAAATCAAAAAATAATAAAATCGAAAATTACGTATATTTGCAAAGTCGCATGAAAAGATGCAATTATATATCAGCAAACTGCATCAAATTCTCTGAAACATGCGTCTACTTTTAAGACCTGACGGACCGGTACTCACACTTTGTTTTACTTATAATCTTGAGCATCTATATTTCAAAGTAAATTTGTTGATAAAGAATATAGGAAAATTCCAAATAAATGATAAATACCATCACCTAAATATTCCTAATTGATTGCAGTTGAAGAAACGACTGGCGTGCTTTGCTGAACTCGGCCAAAATCGCTTAGGCGGTTACAGCGCCAAAAAAGAAGAAGAAGAAGATTGCAGTTGAAAAAGTATTCCAGTATTTTTTTAAAAATGTACCGTTCGTGGAGAGGGGAGTGAGTAAATTATGTGAAATGTGGTATTTAGGACACATCGTTTTCCGTCTCTAAGCCCAACAGTTTTTTTTATCAACTGTCACCTGCCTCCATATGGTCGAAACACTGTGTGGCGGTAGGAATCAAAATTATTTATGTATTTATTATTATTATTTATTTTTATTATTATTTATCTATTTATTATTTTTTCGGTCGACTGTATATTAGTCCCTAGCATATAATTTTGTCAAAAATAAATATTGCAAAATTTCAACGATATTCAAGGATAACATTTTTAAGGTATATTTTTAAAACCTATTCGTCCCTATTCCCCAAAAATTTACTCTGCCTTAATTCTACAGAATTTACTTTGCAATTTTATTTCTATATTGCACTATGTTTGGCCCATGGTTTCGCGGATACGTTTTTTTTTTTTTTTTGTGTGCAAAATTGACCGTCGCACGGTGTAATTAAAAAAAAAAAATTTATTTGCAATGCAAGTTTGCTCAGCGTATGTATCTACGCATATCAGCCGATAAAAATAAATATAAGATACATACATATATATGTATGTAAATATAGTTTACATATTGTATATACTCTTACAATTTATAAGTATATGAAATACGCCCCTTAATGTGGCAACTCTATCTGTAGCTTTTCAAATTCGATTACTCACCAAAGAAAACGTTGAACAAAAAGAGCAATTTCTTCTTACGGAAATCAGAGATCGACATGTTTTTGTTGTTGCTGTTGTAACTCCGCTAACGAAATGCTGTAGCACCAAAGTAACTGCTTAAAGCGCCAAAAGTTTCTGGAATGCTGAAATTAAATTAAATGGGGGAAAAAAGAAAGAAAAGCGTTAGCAAAAAACTTGCAAAATGTTAAATAAGCGAGAGAGGTAAAATTAAGTGAAAGGACAAATGCAGTGAAATGTGGCAAAATCAAATACGGTTGGTGAAATGTATTTGTGCAGCCAATCTGCTCATTCAATGTTGATCTCTAATGAATGCACGAATATGCGGAATACATATATATATGTATAAATGTGTATAAATATAATGAAGAATTGATATTTAAATCATTTCATTTCATTGTTCATTAGATAATTACTATAGCAAGGTAGAAATTTTTCGAGTCATTTATAAATATTATTTTGCGACTTGCATGTATTTCAAAGACTTTTATTTCGTGATTATATTATAATGGCCTTATTCATAAAAAATAAAGTAGCTTTAAAAAAGGTTTATGAACTGAAAAATTTATGAAAACGTCATTTTATAAAGCTCTTTAAACCTACTTTATTTTTTATGAATAAGGCCATAAGTGTTTTCATAATAGTTATGGGTGAAAAAAATTTTTTGAAGTCTACAAGGACAGGACTTGTTCAGGATCATTTCGGGACTTTTTCGGGATCATTTTAGTTCCAAAATGGACCTAAGCCAATTCCGTTTTTTAAGTATTAAACGATTTTTTCTCAGTCATAATTATTATGAAAGATTTTTTAACACTGTACTACAATTTCAGTTTTTTTTCTGGGGAATTGATGAAGCAACATTTCATCAGGACTGTACATGTATTTAAAAAATAATAATTTTTCCGTTTTCCCAGGTAGGCGATTTTAAGCGCTTTTTCAATTTGAAGTTGGTAGTCGCAGAGCTAGTTTTATAACAATTAAAAGTGAAATAAATGAAAATATTTATACATTCAGAAGGCCTTTCTGGGCGTTTGGGGTCCCGGCCGCCGGGGTGTGCTTTGTTGCAAAGAACATAGAAGGAACATGAAGAAAAAGTGCATTACGCTGTTTTATAAGTACATAAGTCTCAAAATAACAGTTATCGATGACTGTAAAAATTTGTCAGCAGCCGGCTGGGGAATTGAAGAAACCAATTTTTTCTAATAGTCCTGATTGTATATGTAAAAGAATTTCTCAACTCTTCTAGGGTGGCGATTTTCAGTGTTTTTTTTTTGAGTTGAAGGTGGTGGTCACAGAGCAGCATTTAAAAAATTAAAATTGATCATCAAGAGGCTATTTCTTCTGTCACGGGTGGGACAAAAAAAGAACCTGCTTTTTGGAGCAGATATATTTTACGGAAACTCTGCGAATTTATATCATGTTTCTGTGTAAACTTGATGTCTTATAATAAAACAAAGAACTATGAACACAACCAAAGCAAAAACTACAAACAAAATGATGGCTTTAATATACAAAAAATTCGAAATTCTTCTGTCACGATTTGGACAACGCTTGCCACGGGTAGGACACGAACAAATTTTTATATGAAAGGGATCTTTTAGAGAGGTCCATATATAAAGATTAGTTATTAAAAAATATAAGAAGCCACGTTTTATCTTAGGATAGTGCCTTTTATATAGAAGAAAATGCTTAGCACCGTCCGCAAAAAAAAATATTAAAAATTAACGCGGTTTCACTTTTACCTACTTAAATTTAATGGACTATAAAACTGTATACCTAATAATTCTGAACAAAAGTTTTATATTTTTTTTATGTAATTGTTAAAGTTTGTTGAATTTTTATAATTTTTGTAACAAGATTGAAATGTAAATTTATGTGGTTCTGGTTAGGTAATGTGCTAGACTTTTATAAAAAAAAACACTATAAACATTAGATTAACAAAATAAAAAACCAAAACTAGTCAAAATGTAACTTAACTTAATTAGCTGACCACAAGGGTATATAGATAATGGACGAATCCGCGCATCTCCCCGTCCTTCCCTGCGTCCACCTCAACAAACAAATAAAGCTTATCAGCCTTGTAAACCTACCTCTGACAACTGTCCCGCACATAGCTGTCACGGGTGGGACTGCTTCTCTTTTATTAACATTATTTACATTTATTAACTTTATTAACACATTACATTACATTACACATTACATTTATTAACATTATGTAACAAACTCGAAACAAAACCTCAACTTTTGTATTTAAATATAATAACTTTTAGCTTTTTTTGTCACTGGTGGGACTAGACCAATACTGCTTAATAATAACTCATAATATAGATAAAGCAGTCACATAGTTTAATATATAACACAATTTTGTTAAAAGCAGATGAGTTCTACTATATATTTTTCCTACCAAACACTTGAATTATGAATCGCAAATCATTTGACTGTGCATTCAACACAACCTACTTTAAACTCGATCAAAAAATTTACTTAGAACTTGATTTCAAAACGTAAAAAAGGTAAAAAAAAATTTAAAGCTTTTATTTGTTATTTTTTAAATCTTTAATTTATTTTTTTCTGCTGTCACTGCCTTTAAATTAAATTACATAGTTAACCACTTGCTTGCAATTTTGCCAGTTGATTGCTGCGCACGTGCGAGGCAAGCAGTCAGCAGGCAGCACATTCATGTTTATTCATCTTTTGTGTTGATTTCGTTGTCTTGCGTCCGACCGTCTTCCGTAGCTTCTTCACTGCAAGCCTACATACAAGCGCATAAGTAACCATATTTATGCATGTGTATACATTCATACATAACTGTTGACACAGTGAATACTTGTACATTTTAAATACGACTGCACTGTAACGCAGCTCTTTCAAAAATTCAAAAGGCGCATACCTTCGATAATTATGGTCCGGTAGTAGAGGTTTATAGTCTGCTTCAAGATGAATGTACTTACTAGAAATCTTTAAATTTTTGGAAAATAGTGGAAGCAAATCGTATTATGTAAATACCAAAAATATATACTCTGTCCTTTAACTTAATGAAAGGAAATTGAGCTGCATTGACCGTTTAAACAATACAAATAAGACAATGGAGTACTAAAATCAGTTTTATAATTTTGAAGACAATTAACCTATCCACTAAAAACAAGAAAAAAATAGTAAGTAAATCTCCCATCAGAACCCAGGTTCGATTTCCTTTTCAGAAATCAATTTGCCGTTTAGAGGCGGCGCGTCGTATTATTGTGGTTTCCTCCATTTTTATGACAACATGAAGGCGCATGCCACATTTGGAGTAGAAGCTTGGCCAAGCACTCAACAGAATGTGTGAGGCACAAATTGTTTTTTTTTTTATCTTTAGTAACAGAATTGTGTTTGTAGTAAAAAGTGAAATTCACATTAGGATGAAAAGTCGGAAATTTCACCTCCTAAGATTGTTCTATATCGAAAATTTTGAAATCAAAAGACATTTAGAGGGCGCTCAAAGCCCTCAAAGTTTTCCATGTATTTTGTATGTGGAAAAAATATTTTTCGTGAAAATGGTATAGAGTTCTTGATAATAATAATACCCAGTTATTTTTTTTCATTTTTCTTAGTAACTATATTTTATAGGTCCGCCAAAACCCATAGAAAATTACAAAAAATGCATTGGGGGATAAATAAAAAATCTTCATTATTAAAAAATGGTTAAATAAATAATTGGATATTGTTATCGGAAGTCACCTGAAGAGAACCAGAGTTTTCAGATCGAAAAATATTGATTTTCAAGAATTCCATCATTTCCACGAAAAGTTGTTTTTTCCCATATAAAATACATGGAAAAGTTTGAGCGCATTGAGCGACCTCTAAATATTTTTTGATTTCAAATTTAAAAAAATAGGGGTTTAGTTTTTTTTCGGTATAGAACAATCCTAGGGGGTGAGATCATTAAAATTCCGACTTTACTTATTTTGGACCACCCTACATAATATACACACATCTGCATTAAAATGTGTCCATTTGCGTGTCGCCTTGGGTTGCTCGCTGCGTTTGTTTCCACAAGCTGTTCTTTATTTAATGTTGTAACTCAAATTGTCTGCAAAACCTTCGCAGACCATTTCTTCTAATAGTTTTTTAACAAATGCGGGCAATCTCGTCGCGGAAATTACGCTTGATATGTAGTCAACAAGGTGTTTTTGCGGCAACAAGGGCAGATTCTTAGCGTTGAGTAATATGCTTTTACTACCAAAGCTTAGAATGAAGTGTAAATGCGTATGTTTGTACATACTGAACCAAGCAAGCTTTGAAACTTGTCAGTTACGAAGTAAAGTTATTACAAATATTTCGATTGTAGATGGCCTGTAGCTCGTTTCTGTAACAATTCTCTACCAAGGCGAATTGATATATGAATCCGCCACCTTGTTCTCTACTGCTAATGAGTAGCAGAGAATGACGCATATTATCTACCAGTAGAAAAATAATCGGTAGAGGAGAGTTACAGAAACGAGCTCTCGGGTCTAAGTTTATAGGTTGCTTCTCAAAGTCTATGCTTCATGGATTAAAAAACAAAAAAAAAAAAACAAAAAAAGACTCGTCAAGAAGTTCATTTACTAGACAGTAAACAAGTGCATTTTCTAAGTCCTTGCCAGAGCCTGGTGTTAGACGTAGGTTTGTCCAGCGCACGGTGGCTCGGTGGGAGAAAATTTTGAGAGTCAGGATATCAAAGAAATCTAGTCGAAAATGGACCGAGGGAACTACAGCTTTGATGAAGGTTATACGTGATCGAATACGGAGATTTCGGGAAGGCAAGTGCCCAAGCACCGGACGTTAAGCCGTAAATCTGCCAGTCCATAGAAGAAAAACATTGGCGTGCGTACCAAGCCTGTGGCCTGAAATTGTCTCGAAAGAGCTCTCAACTAGGCCCAAAATGATCCCATAAAAGTCGGGAAATAGCCCTGAACTATACAAAAATAGTCCCGAAAATGTCTCGGTCTAGTCTCCCGACCTAAGCCTGGCTAGAGCTACTACCGAAATAATTCCAAAAAAGTCCCGAGCCGAACAATATGTTTTTATATCAAAAATGGATTCATGAACTCACAGAACCGCACAAAAAAGTATAGAATATTTTGTTAGTGGAAATGAAAGGCCAGCC